TTTGCTTCCGCATCTCGGATCCAGTTCAGGTCATCATAGGACACACTAGGTTGAAAAATCCAGGGTCGTCACATTTTTATTTAATCTGTTTTAGCTTTGCTAAAAAAAAAATGCAAATAGAAGTAGGCAGTCTTCGTATTACCATTACTTGGCAAACACAAAAAATCCTCCCTCTAAATTTTTCACATAAAAATATCAAAATAAAAGAATAAAATCAATACTCTCAAGAGAAAATTTCATAAAAGAAAGGGTAAAGTGCAAAAAAGCCCCTTGAAGTATTGGCCATGTAGCAGAAAACCCCCCTTGTTGACCTTAAGGATTTCATCCAAGGACCATCTAGAGGTTTTGATGATAACAAATCATTAATGGTGTTTAAGGACTTATGTTTATATTGAGTGTTGTATAGATAATTTACATTTAAAGAATGACCTCAATGAAGCACTAAAGATCATTCCAAGTATTTCATTATTGAAGATCACATCAATGAAAGAAATGGATACAAAGAAGAGTTGAAGTTGCAAGGAACAAAATGAAAATTCCATCCAAAGATTGCTTGGACTATAATAAGCAAGAAAGCAAGTCAAAGAAAGGAAGAAATCAATACTACCTCAAAGCCTACACGATCATAGATAAAACATGAAAAAAGGGGTAGATAGGTTGGTAAATGTTTAGGATTCAATGTCAAAGTCTTTATGAATACATTTGAAGCTCATCTTTATATGACCATGCATATCATTACATCGTTCATAAGTTTCTATGACCATTAGCAATAGACTATAAACTTCATTCACATCTAATTGACATATGAAGTCATTGCTAAAGAATGAGTTAGTTCAAGCTTGCTTAAGATTTGAAAGGACTCAACATTTAAGATAGAAATTCTAGGACCATGCAAATTAATCATAAGATTTATTTTGGTCTCTATAAAGTAAAGGTAAATGCATTGAACTTAATCTTTCATCTTTAAAGCCTTTGTTACCATGATTTGGTAAATGACTCTAGGATACAATGCACTTAATATTTATCATCCTTATATGTCCCTAGACTCTTAGAAACTAGACTTGAACTGAATTGAACCATACATCGGAGTCCTAGGTGCTAGAAAGATGGCTATCTCATAAGAAGCAATTTTCAGCCCAGAAAATATCCAGACCAGCCTGTACTAAAACTCCTATAACTATTTTTGTAGTTGGATTTTTTAAGTAAGGCCAGTATCATTAGAAATCTGACTTCGAGCCCTTGATTTTAGACTCAAATTTTACCTAAATTGGATTTGAATTGAGTGAGATATAACCATTACAAGATGCATGTTTCTGGTCTGCGAAATTTCTGACCAGGTTGCACTAAAACGACCATAACCATTTCTGTGGTTGGATTTTTTTAGTAAGCCCAGTGGCATTAGAAAGCTGACTTCAAGGCAATAAAGATAGACTCAAATTTCACCTCATTTGGAGTTAAATGAGCTGAGTTATATCCATTTGAATTCTGCCCATCAATAGAGCCGCCTCCCTAAGAGACAGAGCTGGCTCTTTGTCATTCCAGTAGCCTATTCTCTGAAAAATACCTACTCCCAGGTAGAGAGTAAGCTCCCAAAGTTGGGGAGCAGGCTCTCAGAGGTCAGAAGCCCGCTCCATACCATGGAGAGCCGGCTCTCAGAGCTAAGGGAGCTTGCTCCCTTCAGGACAGAGCAGGCTCTGCTCCTGTGATCTGAGTCCAATGGCTTTTTAGTTTAAAATTCAAAATTATCTACCTCTTACATCATTTTTTAGCCTCTAAAACCTCTATAAATACCAAGGGAATGTCTAAGCATAATATACACACCATTTAGGAGACATTACATTGCAAAAAGAGCTTTTGTTCTCATCTTCTCTCTCATTTCATTCTTCTATTAATCTTGAGAGATTCAACTAAGGATTCAAAGGGCTTTTGCTCTAGTTCTAATCCCCAAAGAGCTTTTGCTCTATTCTTCACTTGAGAGATCTTATTGAGTTTATAAGAGTTTTTGTTCTTCATTTAAATCATCTTCTCTCATTCATATTTTTCATAGAGTATTGAGCTTCATTTATATTCATGTATACTCTAGTTGTGAGCTTTGATTTGCATATCAATCTTTGAGAGATATATTTGTATGCAATAAATTTGATATTCATTTGAAAAGGCTTGTGTGGCCCAAGGAAGAAGAAGCAAGCTAGCTTCAATTTGTAAGGGTTGGTGTGACTCAAAGGAAAACTAAGAGAGGTTGTCTCTTAGCAAGGTGAATCAAGGTGTTGCTTCATGTAAAGATTTGCCTTCCACCCGTAAGGAGAAGCTATAATGGATTAGGAAGTCTCAAGAGGGATCTTGAGCCGAGGAGTAGGAGTTTCCAAACTTCGCAAAAATCGTCGTGTTATAGTTTTCAATTTCTCTTCCCTTATCTCTTTTACAATTGTGCTATAAATTGTTCACTTTCATATCTTGATTTCATATGTTGATTATTGCATAATTGGTTATATTGTTAATTAGAAATTGTATTTCTATAATTTGCAAAAATTGGCCATTGACTCTATTCACCCCATTCTAGAGTCAATTCTTAGGTAACACTCCTGATCTAATAATTTGGCATATAACCCCCTGAATTAACCAATTTGTTACAATTAACCCAGTCCAGTGATCAGCCGATTAAGTTTGACCGTGAAGAAGAACATGCGGGTCACATGACAACCCATATTTCTTTAAATGACCATACAACCCTTTATAAAGTTAAAATACCACAATGGCCCTTTTACTACTGTTAAATCCCAACAAAACAGCCCTATTTATGTTGTCAGAAACCCAATATATAAGATTTATTATACATATATATCATATATGTCTTTACAAATCCAGAAGGGGAAAGTACTGTAGCTACGGGGATGGCGATGAGGATTGGCCAGCAACAAGGAACCATCAGCTATGGGATTCACTGTCTACGAGGGACTTTGGCTGGCCCTGAGTCAACATAGGCACCATGTCACACCCAGTTGAGAAGAAGTGAATGCCCCTGTTCTATACTATAATATTACTTCAGCTTTGACAATTCAGATTTCTTAAATTGGTGATGATGAAATCAATTGGTGGTTGGTCGAACAAAGGCTATGAAATTGGTGATCTGATTCACACCACCAAACTTGCATATAAAAGCAAAATCATTAGAGTTCATCTTCTCCACTTGCACTAAGTATCTTATGCTGCTCACCAAGAAGTTAACAAATGGTGCTTGGAAATCAATATTGGTGAGGGTAGAAATATAAATAGAAGATGATCAAAAACAAAATCCTAAATGTTGGAACCAAAAATTTACAGATCAATATACAGAAGGAAGAAAAAGAAAAAAAGAAAAAGAAAAAGAAAGAAGATGATTGTGAGTAAGCATGGTGGATTTATAAATTATTCTCTCTTTATTTATTTGTCTATCTATTATCCTTTAATGTACAAAAGAGAAACTTTAGACAGAGAAGAGTGTAAGTGGAGAGGCGACGGAGAAGCAGAACCAGAGGGTGATGCTGGTTGTTGATGGTGGAGATGTGTGTGAGGAAAGAATAGGAAGAATGTTTATTGTGTGTGAGGAAAGAATAGAAAGAATGTTTATTGTGTGTGTGTAAAGGTTGGGTGGGAAAAAAAAAATGATGGACAAGCAGAACCAATGGTGGTGTTGATGGTGGAGATGCGTGTGAGGAAGGAAGAGGAAGAATGTTTACTATTGCATGTGTCAGTGTGTGGTTGGGCACTTAGAGGGAAAAAAAAAAAAAAAAAAGGTTGGATGACTTGTCGCATTCGAATTGGTTGTTGAGATTTCTTCCTCCACGTCATCAATTGAAGTGGATATTTGCCAAAACAACTTAGTTTTATATAAGGGGTAAAATTGTCTTTCACTATTTTCATTATCACCAATTGGCCAGAGATGTCACATCAAGGGTTAATTGCAAAAATTCAATAGTCCAGGGGGGTTAATTGCACATCGTTAATACTTTAAAGGGGTTTTTTTGCACTTTAACCTAAAAGAAATAAACTAAATTTACTTATATTTCAGCCATGGTGGTTTCATCACCCCTTGAGAGGAATGTTTAAGCTAGCATGTTAACAAAAAATTAAAAATGCAAGAAAGAAATTCAAGACAAAAATTCTCAACTTTTATTATTTTCTCTCACTAATTTTGTACATCCCACCTCCTCTACATATGTCCCAATTTATAGAATTTAAAATGGAACGATTAGGAGGGAAAAATTTTAATTACAGAAGTGAAAATAAAATAAAAATAAAAATATATCAGATCTTCCTAAAATCTTGTTGCTTTCCAATTTGGAATTATATGCTTTCCAATTTGGCTTGATCTTTGCTGATTTGATGGAAAAGCCAATTTTGAATTTGACTTTGACTGATCGTGTAATCTCACATTTTTGCTATTTTTGTCTCTTTTCTTCTCATTTCAAAATCAGCCCCTCTAAACACATGAAAAGCAGGGATAAGCATATTTATTTAATAGAAAATATTAATTAATCATTTATTATTGAGTATAAAATAACAAGTTTGTGCACTTATTAAACTGTCGATCGATGGTGCAAAACCTTGATCCAACCAAGACATGAACTATCGATTGATAGGCCCAGAACCTTGATTCGACCAAGCCATGAATTGTCGAGCGATAAGCCCAGAACCTCAATCTGACCGAGTTATGGCCCATCGATCGACAGGCCAAGGACACCAACATGCCATCTCTAGTCGATGGAATCAACAATGGAGAGTAATGGTATGACTCTTCAAAGCCATGGGGAATGTTGAAGGGATTTTGGAATGGAGGATGGGCAATCAGCTTCAAGTTTTGCAAAGGCAGACCCAATTTAAGGAGAAAAAACGAAAGACATTTTGGAGTAGGCACATAGACCCTTAATTAAAGCCACCCTCTATTTAGAACATTTAAAGAAGGTAGGTACACTTGTCAGCATGTTTAGAAAAGTCGGGATTAGGGCATCGTGATCCATATAGGGACATGAGCCCTGACTCACTTTATCCACGACCTAAGAGATATAACCTAAATGACCTAGGTGTCACGATCCGATTCCTAAGACGCTTGGAGGATGGAAGACACGCATGCTGGTTGGCAAAGAGCAGAGTTTGACTGGGAATGGTTCCAGGGAAGGGGCGTGCAGGACCACAGGATGGTACCTTTTCAGAGTTCAGGCAGGTCGACTCGGTTCAGTTCGAGGTGCTTGTCGCTGGTCTTGGACTTGACTATGAAGAAGGGAGTTGGCCATCCCTGCACAAACTGGTCGGGAGCTGGAGCCGTTCCCCTGACGAGGCCATGGCAGGCCGAAACCAGTCAGCATGTATCTTTGGGAGGGCAGGTCGTGGTGGCTGACCAGGGCGCTTGCGCGAGCTGAAGCAACGCCTTGGTGCCGCACGGGCCGTGCCGCTGCGCCAAATCTCTAGGCCCGTGACAAATGGTATCAGAGCAGGACTTGGGGTAAAGCACGGTAGGGTGCCCCCTTGTCGGTCCGGGAGGGGTCAGAGAATGAAGACGGTGCATTGAAGTTGCGTCGATGTGGAGGAATCAATGCAGTTGGGGGGGGAAGAGCCTCCATCTCCCCAGGAAGAGGCGTCCGTTGAAGTTGCGCATTGAAGGGCCGGAGGGCCGCGCGCACCAAAGTTCGTGCTTAGTCCTTGGGTGATGCAAACCATGGTGAAGGGCGAGCATCAAGTCGGCAGAAGGCCATTGCTTGCTCGGGATGTCGCGGAGGCGGCATGACGGAGAAGAGTCACGTCCTTGAAGAGTGGACGTCCCCTTGGTCCGAGGCCTATCATTGGGCGAGTGCAGTGCAGGGAGCTGCACAAGGAAGCGATGGTGGGAAGGCGAGCATACCGCATGGAGGCAGACTTTGGAAGGGAGTGGACGCAGTAGTGAAGCGCCGCACTGCGACGAGGACGTCGCAGGATTTGGGTGGGGGAGAATGTCACGATCCGATTCCTAAGACGCTTGGAGGATGGAAGACACGCATGCTGGTTGGCAAAGAGCAGAGTTTGACTGGGAATGGTTCCAGGGAAGGGGCGTGCAGGACCACAGGATGGTACCTTTTCAGAGTTCAGGCAGGTCGACTCGGTTCAGTTCGAGGTGCTTGTCGCTGGTCTTGGACTTGACTATGAAGAAGGGAGTTGGCCATCCCTGCACAAACTGGTCGGGAGCTGGAGCCGTTCCCCTGACGAGGCCATGGCAGGCCGAAACCAGTCAGCATGTATCTTTGGGAGGGCAGGTCGTGGTGGCTGACCAGGGCGCTTGCGCGAGCTGAAGCAACGCCTTGGTGCCGCACGGGCCGTGCCGCTGCGCCAAATCTCTAGGCCCGTGACATAGGGCTATAAAGAGGTGGCTGAAAGAAAAAATAAGGGTGAAGAAATTGGGCTCTGTCAGCACTCTAGACTTGAGCCTTCTCTACCATCGTTTTCAATCCTTAGGTTGGACTGATTTCTCTCCTCAATCCCCTCTTCTTTATTCCTCACATTGATTTATTGATATTCCCAGATATGATTTCATTCGTAGTTTGACTTGAAAATCAAGTACATACACCGGTTTTATCCCCCAGCGGGTATACTATTGGAGAATGGATTTTTAATTTCTTAGGGTGCTCCGTTCTATTTGTTTTGGATTTCGGCGTTTCGCTCATGCACTCAAGCACTGTGTTTCTGGCGTTTACGAGATGGAAGGGTTTTTGCAGCAGGTTTGTTGCTCCTTACTCTTGTTCCGGTTAATTCTGCCTCTTCTTCGGCGGCCATCGGCAATGGGTCATGGCTGGATGTTGCTGGAATGAGTGGTCAAGCTGGATAACATCCGGGGCGTGGGTCTTCTACTGCTCGCCATGCTCGGTGGTGGTTCTACATTGTATATGGAGTTTAAAGTGATGATGGCTCTCTAGTAAAGTCTCGCTCCCTTCTATCATGTTTCCATGCGACCCCCTATTATCCTCGTTTCTCGCATTGTGCTATGTGGGGTCCCTTTTTGGTTCATAGGTCAAACCCTATAATGTTGGTGCGTGGGGAAGGTGCAATGCTTGATCATTCTATAAAGTTGGGCCCATTACTTATGGACTCTGATACAGATGCAGATGCTGACAAGTACATGGTTGAATTAGTGGGGTTGTCATATGGGTTTGCTACATAGTTTCGCCGTGATATAAGGCCAACTTTGCTACCTTCCATTAAACGCCTTTGATGATGGTTCTAACCCAAGGCAGGTCCAATGGTTGTTGGGTTGCTGGATGTGGGTTCTGGTTACCAGTCTCTTTGATAAGGTCTGTAAAGATATTAATATACCGCGTCCACCCAATTTGGAACCCACGCCAGGGTCAAGTCAAGTACCACGATAATGGCCTTTGTGTTGCGTTACAACAGCTTTGCTTTGTTTTTGGATGTTATGGAGGGGATTGAATACCTTTTGTGGTTGTTGAATTGTTGTGTTTCTCTCAGATGGTAGCTTTGTTTGTTGCCTGTTGTTTGTCTGATCACATTCGTGTGTTCGCAATAAATGTTCTTTATAATTGTGTTACTGTTGTGTAGTGTTGTCTTTGTTTCCTAGGGAAAAAAAAAAATAGAAATACTTTTTCTACACCTTCAATATAATATCACATTGAACTTCATAATTCAAGAATAGTCGATCTACTGTGGAAACTTAAAAACCCTTAATATAGAGCAAAATAATTATTAAGAAGAAAAAAGAACTGATAGAATATTCGCCATGTTACCATTCCATTAATTAAGGACAAAACTGAAATTCATTTTATTATAAAAAATAAATAAAAACTCAAATACAATATTCATTTATGTAAAACTTGAGGTCACGTGCACCACACGTGCTTTTAACTTGGTTATTTATCATGGCTACCGCCCAGCAGGTTGCTCTAGCCTCAGAGGAGGAAAAAATAGTAGAGTAGAAAACAGCAAAGGAAATGGAATGGGCGAGCAGAGTGATGAGTGCTGTGTCCCGAGCTTCAGGCAATAACACAGTGATAAATGTGTGTCTGATAGGTTCGTTCGTAGCTTTGAGCGCTAGGTCGATGAGCCAACAGAGGGACATTGAAACCCTAGATGCCGAGAAGGAGTCGCTGCTCAAAGCCAATAAGTCCATGAAGAAGGCCATGTGGGACTGGAAGCAACAGCTCTTCGCCGAAGCCTCCACCGACTCTCCTCTCGTCCCTCTTTCCAACCTCAAAGCCATCTACGGCGAATCATCCACACTTCAGTCTGGTAATCTCTCCATGTCTATATATATATATGTATTGGGTATCTTTATGGGGTTAGATTAGATTGAACAAGAGGATATTAGAAGAAATTCATCGTATTTTGAAGCATTGATTTGTAATTAGTTGTCGCGCAATGCATATGACATAAACCCTTTTATGGTTTTGGGAATTTATGATCCATTTGGTTGTGAAAATTGAGAGGAGGAAGGAAAGTGAAATACTGAAATTAAAGTGTTGAATTTTAGTTGTTTGCACCTAAAAATGATCATTTCGGCCAACAGTTATATTGGGTACATTTAAGAACTGGATTGGGTTTGCAATAAAATCTGTTTGCAATAAATTGGAAATTTTTTTCCTCAATAAATTGGAATTTAAGACACTAGAATAGGAGTTAAATCGGCTATACTACAACTTAAGTAAATTCACCCATGAATTCTGACCACTTTTTTCATGGAATTTCAAAACACTACTTTTTGGAATTTAAAATATCATCCAATCCAATACCATTTTTTCAAATTTTATTAATTCAAAAGGTAAAAGCAACCCAATAGGATGACCCTCTCTTGCATCCTCACAGTTACCATCCTGTTATGAAAAAAAAAAGATCGAATAGGAGTTTTGAGAACAAAAGAGAAAGTTAATGACAAGAAATTAAAATGGCACACACACGAACGAGATAAGGATTTACGTGGTTCGGTTATGCCTATGTCCACGGGGAGAAGACAGAAATAATATTTCACTATGGAAATAAAGAGATATAAAGCAAAAGTGGCTCACACCCAAAATCCAATTACACCCAAAATCTCTCACTCTCCAACTGATATTTCAAACACCCAAATGATGATTTGGATGATTCCACAACATATGGGCATTGGCTATTTATAGCCAAACAAAAACATCTTGTGCTTGTTGATCAAGCACATGGGCTGACGAAAAAACAACTCGACAGCTTGCTGATCACGAAAACTTGGAGGCCAAGAAGATGATGTCATGGGTGATGCATTACTTGGAGCTGAGCTGCCAAATTTTGACCCACAAAGTTTAACAATGGCGAAAAATTCCGAATGAGCTACTGTATCTTTGCCAAACAACCTGTCTTCTCCACAAAACAAATTAATTGAGAGTTTTAGTTAAGTTTGAGCATGACTCAAACTTAACTCTCAGGCTCTCATTCTTCAACCCATGCATGTCTTGCGCAGCCACAAGCATACCTCTAGTATTTCTGTCAAACTCTAAGCGCTTACCAAAAACACCCTTAGAAACTCCAAGTTTAACATCTCCTTCAGCAACCTTCTCCAACCGCCCACAAACCACCGACTGGTAGTGAAAAGTCATCTTCTCACCCTTGTGGAGAATAGGACATCCTTGACTTTTCCTTGCATCTTTGTTGTGACCAAATACTTGCCTCCCACGCATCTTAATGGCACTCGAATGGACTATCTCATTGCCACCAAGATTATTGCAAGTCAATATCACACCTGTCCTCATGAGTCTGCCTCCCTGTAAGGACTGCTGCAATTTTAGTTGCCATCTGAAAACTGATTTTATTCTCCCACCACATTATGTAGTCCCCTCACAACCCTTTTGAGAGCTAGGATTGTAACTCCTCTTTCTAACTCTTCTTTTGCCAAGATCCGAACGCAGATTTTTGCTAACTGTAGAAGACCTTGTAGAAGCTCCACCTGTTACTGTATTCCCTTGGAGAAGATACAAAATTTTCACCTTGGTTCCCTGTAGCACCACAAGAGAATCCATCACGACCATCATTGCTCCACCTTCTGTTACAACCTTGTAACCTTTGAAGTCTAGCACACCTACTGAAATAAGATTCATCTTCAGATTCGGTACATGTCGCACATCTGACAATGTTCTTACCAACCCATTGTGCGTCTTGATCTTTACTGTTCCAATTCCCAAAATTTTGAAAGCTTTCCTGTCCGTCGTCAAAATCGAACCACCTTTCACCTCTTTATAGGAGGAGAAAGAATCCCTACTGGAACATATATGAACGAAACAACCAGAATTAAGAATCGAACTGTCATTAAATGACATACCTGAACACAAGGTTGTCTTGAGAACATAATCGTCACTCTCTGAATCACTCGTTGTAGCAGTTGCCACAGAAGCTGCTTCTTGAACCTTCTCTTTGCCATTCCCATTCTTTGCCTTTAGTTTGGGACAGTGCTTAATGATGTGCCCTATCTCGTGACAGTAGTAACATTCCACATTTTTATGAGATCTATATTTGCCCCTACTACCAGAACCTTTTGTCTCACTTTTGCCTCTTACAAATAGACCCTCGGCCTGTTCATCTCCAATATTTCCAAACACCTTTTTCCTCAATTCCTGAGAGTTCAATGAGGATTTAATATCCTCCATACTGATAGTGTCTTTTCCATAGAGTAATGTGGTAACAAAATGCTCATAGGAAGGAGGCAAAGAACACAATAAAATAAGGGCTTGATCCTCGTCATCAATTTTAATATCAGTATTTTTCAAATCCATAATAATAGAATTGAAATTATCAATATGTTCCTTAAGAGGCATATCTTCCTTCATACGAAGGGCGTAAAGTCTCTGTTTCAGGTAAAGTCTGTTGGTGAGAGATTTCGTCATATACAGACTCTCCAATTTCAGCCACAACTTTGCCGCCGTGTCTTCATCAATAACTTCACAAAGCATCTCTTCAGCTAAATTCAAAATAATCGCACTGCGCGCCTTTTCATCGACCTCATCCTTGTCTTCATTAGACATAGCTGTTGGCAATTTGTCCTTCCCGAACAACACCTTCTTTAGATCTTGTTGAGTCAGCAGGGCCTGCATCTTATTGCTCCAAAGACTGAAGCTAATCTTGCCATCAAATTTCTCAATCTCGTATCTGGTCGACATCTCAAAAAACTCCCCAAAATAATTCTCGATGAATAGTACCGTATTTGTGAATAGTACCCGAATAGTATATGTGAACAGTATCTGTACACAATATACACGAACCCGAGCTCTAATACCAGTTTGTTATGAAGAAAAAAAAGATCGAATAGGAGTTTTGAGAACAAAAGAGAAAATTAATGATAGGAAATTAAAATGGCACGCACACAAACGAGATAAGGATTTACGTGGTTCGGCTATGCCTACGTCCACGGGGAAAAGACTGAAATAATATTTCACTATGGAAATAAAGAGATCCAAGGCAAAAGTGGCTCACACCCAAAACCCAATTACACCCCAAAATCTCTCACTCTCCAACTAATATTTCAAACACCCAGCTGATGATTTGGATGATTCCACAGCATATGGGTATAGGCTATTTATAGCCAATCAAAAACATCTTGTGCTTGCTGATCAAGCACATGGGCTGACAAAAAAACAACTCCACAGCTTGCTGATCACGAAAACTTGGAGGCCAAGAAGATGATGTCATGGGTGATGCAGTACTTAGAGCTGAGCTGTCAAATTTTGAGCCACAAAGTTTAACACATCCTTTGGCACGGTCAACTCAAGGGAGTATGTTTCTCCTCACACTCTGAGTCCGAGTAAATGACTCTGGCACACCCGCAAGCCTCGGGAGTTGTAAAAAGAGAGGAAACATTTTTTAAACGCATTTGGTAATTTTATTTCTCACTGTTTCACTTGTAATTTTCATAGTTATAGTTTGAATGTTCTTGGATCCTGGCTTTTAGTTCAGCTGTACTTGAGTGTCTAACAGATTGTGTCTCTAGCAATCAACTCTCTCTCCCTATTTCTTTGATTAATTATTCGATGAATCCAAAATTGTAGAACTGTGATTTATGGCAATAATGAAAAATACTACAATTATTGATATATGGCATCACCATGTTATGATCCATATGCACACACTCATGCCACCAGCCATCACAATACACATCTTATGGTTAACCCGTCGGCGTTATGAAGGCTAGGCTAACCGTGCAGGAGGCGCATTCCTGGCCTCCTCAAAGGCGCCCGAATTTTCATTGGGATTGACTACGATGTTCCCTGCGTTCCCCAGCTGTGTGTACAAAGACAAAATAATACAATTATACTCTCTCAATGGCTCAGCTACAGAGCTTCAACTTTGTATGTTTCTCTCTCTATAAAAGACTAAGCGGGGCCCATCGTCTCATAAAATAAGAAAATTTACCCAATACATGTTGGCTGAAATGGTCATTTTTAGGTGCAAACATTATTTTTTCATGATTTGTGGTTAGAGAATATACATAATTGTGTTCATGTGCGCGCACATGAATTTCTTTGTTTAATGTTTGAATATATATGCGTAGTATTTAAAGTCTGGTTTAGTTTTACATTTTTCAGTTTCATGAATAAGTTGTGACGATTCTTGAAATATTGTTGTTTATGTTGTTGGAGCTATGTGAGAGTGTGATTTACCATATGTGGTTGTCGGATAAAACCTAATTCTATGATGCTACAATGGGAAAGATGTGTTATCATTGAGGGTTTCTAGGCTGGTAAAAAAACAACCAGCTTTGCCATCATCAAACTTGGTTCAGGTCATGGTTTAATGTCCATTCCATTCTGATGCCCCACTCCCCACCCTGTTGGATAGGCATGCATATGAGGGGTGTTTTAGCTTATAAGAGTATTGAATTTCTATTAATTCAATGTTCTTAAACGCTAAAACATGTGTTAGTAGTGTCTAGTAAAGGGACAATGGTTTAAGTCCAATTGCCCACACGTTATATGTCTAAGCGTCTTTCATATGCACTAGCCATACAAGACAATTTGGCCTGGGAAATTGTCTTCCTTGAATTTGAAATGCGCTGTAAAAGTGGGCTCATGATTGGCCAATTGGACTTTTGTTATATGAATGAGTTTGAGTGAGCTCATTGTCAAGTCAATCATGAACCGTTCATGCAGAGTTCAGTCCGTTAACAGCCATACTTTGCCCCCATTCCTTTGTTTAAGAAATAAAAACTGGATTGTTGCTTTTACTTTAAGAGTTTAAGTTACTGCTTACATGGAACGGTTTGAACATTCACAGAAAATTCTATTTTCATTGTAAACAGATTTAGAGAAATTTCACTTATGTACCTTTATGAAAAGGATAAATTTCTCTTCAATCAGTATTTAGTGGGAGTCAATGATACTGAACTGTAACCTGTCTGACCTTTAAAGAGGGGTTTTCAGAATGTATTTTCTTTCTCATCCACAAAGATGAAAAGTATCTTCACGCCTCATCCTTCATTTTCATGCCTCCGTCGACTTATAAATTTTACATTTGGTTGTGTTTACACCCCATTTATTGGCCAAAGGCAACAATTTGAAGCATGGCGCATGGCAATGGGTCCAAGGAATGCTCAGACTAGTTATTATCACCTTGGAGAGGATAGACCATTGGAGTAGAAAGTTAGTGTAGTAAATGGGTAATGGAGCAATAATCAGACATCAGTTCTAAAAGGAAAAGGTGTATCCTATAATGAGGGAAGTTGCAGTTTAGTTGGTCCATTTTAAATATTAGATGACCCAGAATGAAGGACTCTCTCTCCGCACATCATCAAACTACACTTGTTTCTTTACATTGCACCTGTACTTACGTTTCTGCAATTTCAATTCTTAGCTTAAACTGTTATCTAGTCCTTTCAATTTCAGCACTTATCTTTAAGTAGTTAGTTTATCTTGGCCTGTAATTCCATTACATGTTAGACTCAGTAATCTTCCTTCTGTTAATGCAATCCAGTTTATTTATTCTCTGTTCAAGTGCTTTAGTTTTTCCACCATTTTCACAATTCGGAAGTCCTTGAAAATGGCAAAACAGAACCTACGAAGGGTGATCATTCCAGACCCTTTTCACCTTGCCTGATAATTATCACCGCCATAACAATATCTGGGATATTGTTCGGCACAATTGGATTCAGCAAGAGTCCTGGTATGCCCGTGCACCAGCCAAAATATTTTTGTGGCCAAATAGGTTAACTTGCCCATTAACATTGGTTGTGAAACAACTTCATTTTCGTATCTACTTTAGACAGTGTTCTATGTTCTTGCGTTCATTTATTTCTTTTTCTTTTTTCTCCTTGAACTTTGCAGCACAGAAAACTCCTGTTTCTTGTCATTCCTTTTGCACTTCATCTGATTGACAAGTCCTTTTTCTTTCTTACGTCCACTTTCTTATCTCTTTAACATTCTAGATTTGAACTTTAATTTGGAGTTTTCCCTGCATTGAAACTTTAGTACCACTCTACGTCTTCCTCAGATGTTTTCCTACTTCTTTGTCTCATTAGGTATATCATCCTTAATGAAATTTTAGTTCAATGAACTTTTGGCATTAGATTTATCTCTTCAGCAGTGAAGAATGTTATGTTAAGTAGGTGTACCTGGTGCCTTGTAAATTTTATTGAATTTTTACGAAGCAGTGATATCCTTTATCATGTTTTTAGAAAACATTTAAAACCGATGCATTTGCTTGATACTGATGGCTATTAACCATCAAGAAACTTTACTGCCACAAACTGCTTATCTACTGAATTTTTTTATAGCCGGTCAACTTTCCTGGATTCTCCGCATTTATTTGGATATTTTCAGATATTCTTGGTCTTGAAACCTCTCATGTCCTCTGCCACCCTATTTACCAAAAGATTTGAATTTGGGCAAAAAGGTGTCAAAATTTTGGTTATAATATGAATATCAAGCTAAAGAAATCTACGAAAGATTCGCCATGTATATAGTTAAAAGACAAATGAGAACTTCTCTTATTTTCTGATTCATTACCTGTCAGTTTGTGGGCAGTAGGACTTGTTTCTTTTTAGATCTCTTCCAGAATTTAGCATTGGTGAAATATACTTGTTTAGAGATTCTCTTTAGGAGATGGAGGTTTTTGAATGTGGGAGAAATGTTTTGATTAAAAATGTTACCCAATGGTAGATCTCACAATAAATTGAGGGCATTAATGTAGTCAGACGATTATCTGTGTGTTTGGGAAAGTCATTTTCTGCAGAAAAATCATTTTTTTTTTTTTTTTTTTTGTTTTGCTAAGCATGTATATATGGACTAACTTAGAAAGAGGAATATACAAGAGTTAAGGGAGGCATACCCCCTGCTCAAAGTGGAGTAATATCAAGAATGTCATCAACTAACAAAACCATACAAAGACCGGAAAAGTCAAATTTTACTTGGTTACCTACTTGAATAAGGTGATGACAATGTTCAAGCCCACTGGAGATCAAAACCCCAACTGGTATTATTCTTCTATCATAAAGATCATTATACTGAATCCTGTCTTTTTAATCAAGCATTTGTAGTTGAGTTTTCTTTGTGTGTGTGTGTGTGTTTATTCTCCAAATCAAGATGACGAGAAATAAAGCACCTTTGCAATCTCTATGGGTTTCCCTCTGTGTTAGAGTATCAAATTTCATGCAATTTCATTTGGTTTTGATTATTTATTTTCCTCTTTGGGATATTATGTGAGGAACAACATTGCATAAATGAATTTTTTTGTAGACTTTGGAAGTATGTTACAGTTACTTTTACTTATTGTATGAATAATGATTTATAGGCCCGAAGAGTTGGGCTGAACCTGTGGTGGGACTCAAAGAGTGGATCCCACCACATGCATCTGTGTTTCGGCCCAATTCTTCAGCTGAAGAGTTGGGCCTAAGTAGCACTGTTCTTATTGTATAATGTCTAAAAATTTTGCTGGTCAAATACATCCACTCTATTTGGGGGAATATTATTTACGTGGTATTTTTTATGGATCATTACACTTTTTTCATTTTTTATACTCTTGTACATGCAGCTGAAGATGCTGAGAAGGGAGATGCAAAATCACCTGCATCAAAAATATTAATCTGAGGCTGTTTTGAGTTCACGGAGATCTGGAGAGATGTTAATCTCTCGTGGCTGATGAGGTAAACCTTAGCGGATAGAATCTACATTCAAAAAACTCTTAGAGATTCAACTGGTATGTCAACCAGAAAGTATATGGATTGGTTGGGACAAAGAATTATACTTGTGTTATGTTTCCGAGAGCTTATTTCATTTACTCCTGCCATGCACCCTGCCTCTTTTTTTTTTTTTTTTTTTTTCTTTTTTGCGGTTCTATCAACTTGTGGCTGCTTTCTTTCGTCATATAAGTGATGAAGTACTGCTGAATTAGATAAACACATGAATGGAGTCATTTTGAATGCTATGGAATGCCCCAAGTGCTTTCTCTAAGAAACTTCCCCATGGGCTCAGTTAATTGAAAAACTTGACACCATTGAAGGATGGGTTTACTAAATAAACTATCGCTCACCCATACCAATCCATTATGTTTTGCTTTGCAATGTGAGGCATCTTATATATTATTAACTTCTTTGTTTTTTTTTATTTGTTTAAAGCTAGATATTTGGATTTGGACCTTGGATTATGAATAGGGGTTGACAATTCAATGGGTTATTTTCCACTTCTATGGTCCACATCCTCGTAATATGTAACCACTAACCACAAACTCAAAGCTACGTGTGTGTGCGCGCGCGAGATTGCGAAGTTGAGTTATTTTCCACTTCTATGGTCCACATCCTCATAATATGTAACCACAAACTCAAAGCTCTGTGTGTGTGTGTGTGAATGTGTGTGCACACAGGAGCGGAGCCAGGATTGTAAAGTAGGGAGGGCTAAAAATTATTAGATCCATGATTGCTTAGTGTATCATCCATGTTCTAAATACATAATTATCATGCATAAGTTATTCAATTAAATCCAATAATCTACAACCTTCTAACACATTTACACTTCCAAGCTCTAATGTATTTTTACAGTCAAGAATTTATTAAAGTTTGTTTCATACAAGTATTAAAACAAACAACTATAAGAATGCAAGATATATATGTTCTTTTTTATTAAATTCACATTAAAAAGTAAGACATATGTGCTCCGCCCCTGACTAGTTATTAATCAATTATATAGTAAATTATCCAATTTAACAAGAAATTATCAACTCATCAACAAAGCCTTTTTTTATTTTTTATTATTTTACAAAAATAAAATTCAATATTTCACTGGATTAACAATAATAATTCATGATATCCATCCACTTATGCCTTAGTGCCTTAAACACGAAGAGTTTATGTCTTCTTCCATAGACTAACAATGCGTTTGATTTACTGGGTTGGGCCCTATTATATTTTATTATGGTTTATTTTGTGATTGGGTATGTCTATGGCTTGTGGACTTGCTCATATTTAAGGCTGGACCTTTGTAAATTTTATAACTCTTTTTATTTATAGAAATACTATGAATTGAGTTAGGCTGATAGGAGGAGGAAGAGTAGTACATGGGCTTACAGAAACAATAGTACTAAATTTTTTTTTTCAATTGGACCTGGGCTATAGCACAGGTTAGTCTATTACTAGTTCCTCCCTTGTGTGCACACACGTTACATGTGCAAAACACTTGTGGTGTTGAGAAATGCCAAAGTTGTTTTTCTCTAAGGTGGGAGAGCGGCAGAATTAAGTTATAAATAGTGAGAATTTAAGTTAGAACGCGCATGGAACATGAAAGCAACACTCGTTGAGAAGAATTGTATGACTTGAATTCTATCTTTGTTTGTGCTGATAAGCCACAAAATCAAGGAATTCAGCATTAGTCAGATTACGCATTCCTGCCGAGCTAGTGCCTTGCTTTATTATAAAATCAATTTGGTGACATAATTTCTTATGCGTTTTTAATAATAGAATCTAGGCCAATTTATCTTACTAATGATATCAATTGTTAAGCAGTCAACTGTTATTATCTGATTTTGTTGTTAACCCATCAATATCTTGGGAATCATTAAGGAGTAAAATTAAGTGAATATGAAAAAAAATTTATATAAAACATTTTCAGGTCAAATATATTTTTTTATTTTTATTTTTATTTTTCGGTATTTGACAAAAGTCTTAAAAAAGTTTTCCTTGGCTATTTTTATTAGGTTTTATTAAAATATTTTACTTAAATTTTGGATAGCCAAACAACAAATAAATAAAAATAAAAATAAATTAAAAAATATTTTAATTTTTAAAAGTCTTATGCTTCGTGGTTGAAGGGAAGGTAGAAGAGGGAGGAGGCAATGAGGTTTGCTTCATCCCTCCTCCCTTTATAATTTTTCTATTCGGCCAAAATTGGAGGGAAGAGGAGAGAGAAAATAGGATAATAAACAATAAGCTTTTAATTTTTATTTTTAACCTTGTTGTTGCATAATTTGTAATGGACGTGTAATATCTATATAATGAGGGTTTATTAGTAAAAATAATATAAAATTCTCTTTCCCTTTCAACAAAAATATTATTCATTTTTTCTATCCCCAACCAAACGAAGCATAAGACTTTTGTATCATTTTGCGAAAGTATTTGGGTCTAGCCCAATTTGAAGCTTGTGTCATTTAATAATAATGTTTTACCTCAACATAAACACCATTGTCTTTATGTTTTGCTTTGCACTGTGAAGCATCTATATATTATTAACTTATTTTCTATTCTTTATTTGTTTAAAGCTAGATATTTGTAGGATTATGAATAGGGGTTGACAATTCAATGGATTACGAAATTGATTTATTTTTTATTTTTATGGTCCACGTTCTCGTAATCCACTAACCACATACATATTCAAAGCTATGTGTGTGCGTATGTGATATACACACGTAGCTTTGAATCTATGATTAGTGATTCCATATTACGAGGATGTGGGCCATTACATATTACGAGAATGTGGACCATAGATCTATATTTGCTGAACTAGTTAGGTTCCAAAACACTCTTGCTATCTGAAAAGTGAGTCATAAAGTGATATAAGAAATGACAAATTTGCTTATTTGAATCAAAAATCAACTTTGGAATTCCATGGAATGTAATACATTTATCATCCACTAGGAAATATGAATTGCCAAATTCCTAGTCAAATATTTGCTTATGTAGGTCTCCTTTTAACAACAAAAGAGACACCTATATTAATGGATGCAGAAGAAGTTATTTTGGTTGCACAACCACTAAACCTTAAAGAAAATCGACATAAGAGAATTGTGAGAAGGGGGAAAATGAAGAAAAATTAAATAAATAAGAGCTCATTGTCATGATCGAGAAAAAATTTCTCTGCATCTTTAATATTTCGTGTCATCAACCTAATGTTTTATTTTAGTGAATCTTATCACTACGTGTTAATATCTAATCAGTTAGTGATACCACATTATTAACACAACCGGCGTAATTAAGATTTTCTCCATAACCAGACACTTGTCATTCGACAAAAAAGATAAGTCATTTTTCGTAATCTCATTAAGAGGAAGTGTTTCTTCTCTACCTTATAAGACTAGAACCCATCTTGTATTTGTCAAATGTGAGACGTGACACCATACAAATATACGACAATACTCTTGATTGCCTTACTTTATTATAAAATCAATATAATGTAATCTCTTATTTCTTTATAAGAACAGAATTTTGGCCACTTACTTACTAATAATATGAATTGTTAAAATTTGTCCAACATTTCAGAAAATAATATATATAAAAGATAGTTTTTGTTCTGGGGAAGGTAAGTTGAATGTATATATATAAAAGATAGTTGTTTGAAACAACCTTGAACATTTTTTTTTGTGCATTGGTCAATTCTTTCATTTTATTTAATTAGATTCTTACATGGGGTGATTATAATCTTAATGTTAAAGCAAATGTTTAAGTGGACCAAAGTTTTTCTTCCTCTAAATTTACAAGAAAAAGTTGCACATTCTTTTCCAATGCCTCCATATTTCCTCCATGTGCCTTCACTTCACTTTGCACAGAGAGTCATCAACTTGTTAAATTATTACACTGATTCACATTTGCAGCTTCTTCTTACTCTGCTTGTACTCATTCCCAGCTAACTTTTAGTATTGTTACCTAAAAATACATTGCATGGGAATGATAATAGTGCATCACAATTCACAATACATGACCATTATTTGTGTCATGTCGGATCGAGGACCTAGAGAATTGTACGAGGCCACGACCTTGAACAACAATAATATATAATAGAGATATTGAGTGGGGTATTTTTAAGATTATCATAAAATTTATTAGGAATTTTGTAAATAAAATTTATTGTCCTTTGACTTGTTAAAAAAAAAAAAAAATTAGTATAAGTATATTTAGCCCAATGTTTTAAAAAAGAAAAAATTAATAATAGCATTAGCCCCTCAATTTTAACCCATCCAAACAAGCTCAATATCTAAGCCATAATTTTAAAACAAAGGCCCAATCAAGCCAAATAAGCCCTAAACAATCACTAAGTCAAAGCACAGAGAACTCCTAAATTCTTAATCTTGCACAAATCAAAGAACTTATTCCTTCTCTTCCTTTAAAGTCTAACCCTCTTTCCTTTAAAATTTTTCAATTCTTTAATCTTTCGATCTCCAATTCCCCCTTGTTTAATATTAGCCCCCCATTAACAATTCCTGGATTCGCCCTTGTTTATAACTTTTTTTATTGGAACAAATTAACCCTCACTACTCTTTGCTTTGTTCTTTATCAGTGAAATTATATATATATATAAGGATAAAAATCTGTAAAGATGAAATTAAACCCATTGACTTTAATCTCCATCTCCCCATAATGTAATTTTGAGAGAGAAGCACAGACTTAGTAATTTGACATAATTAAAAAGATTGAACTTAGTTTCTTTCATTTCTTAAAAAGTACTGTAATAATTAAAAACACAATTACCGAAGCATTAAATTTCTTACTATTAATTTTCTATTTATTATCAACATTTTATTGGATTCCAACCTCATTAGCATTTTATTGTTAAATAATATGATTTATTATTCTAATTGGTAGCATGATAAACAGGATGACATGATTGGAAATGAGAAAGAACTTAATATATAGCAAAAGACATATTAATTAGAAATAATTAGATAATGGCAGTTTAAGTACTAATGATTATGCAATTGTTGTTTATTAATTTTTTAAAAATTTATTGACATGATGCTTATTCAAGGATATATACACAATATCTACAATACTTAAACTTGTTAAAATAGTATTATTTGCCTTAAGCATTATTTAACTAATATTAACATAAATATTATAACAATCATGCTTGCATATATTAATTATATCTTAGCTAGTGCCAAAATCTTTTATTTATTTATTGCAGATTCCATGATTTTACTTTGAATATTTTTTTTCATAATATGAATTAGCCGGCAAGCATGTATGCATCAATTATATCATCACCCTAGAATTAAATAACACCATTCCTTTCCCCCTAAATATTAGGGGCAATGGCCTTTTAATTTATCTATTATTCTTTTATTAAAAAACTTTAAAAAGATGATGGTAATTTAGATATTTCATAGCATTTTTATGTGCAAAAGCTAATAGGGAATGTCATCATTAAAAAAAAAAGAAAAAAGAAAAAAAAAAGAAGCTAATTTGTATACAGATGTGAATAAGGTAAACCTTAAGAGGTGTCACCATAATTTACCTAGAAGAAAACATTTGCTTTCAATAAACCTAATTATAACATAACATGTAACAACCTCCAAATTTTGTCTATCATCTATTACATTGCATTTTGGTTCCATCCGTGTGTATATATGGGTAAATTACACTAACCTCTCCCGAAATTTAGACAAATTACGCATAGATAGAACGTTTGACATTTATTACTTTGACATCCCCTAAGATTTGGTGCGTATGCTCAACGACATTGTATGTAGTTAATAAAAATTCAAAAAATGTCTAAGTTGCCCTTCTCTTATGTTAAAATACCTCAATAACCTTATATTTTGACATAAAATTACAAAAATACCATGAAATGCTTGCCGTTGAAATACAAAGTATCAATTTTCTATTATTAATTTTTACTAAAACAATTTTTTTATATTTTTTTTAAAGGTAAGGTAATATAATGTTCACAAGATGGAAAAAAAAAAAAAAAAAAAGAAGATAATATAGTCTTTTGGTTTGACATTTATTTTTAAATTAGATAAGAGTATTAAAGACATTTCACACTTTTAAGGAATGTTAAAGTAATAAAGGTCAAACGTTATAATTTATTCAAACTTTAGTTCGCAGTATCAATCACGGTCACGGTATTGGTCGTGGTCGCGATATAACGAATTTGGACAAAATTAATATAAATTGATCGATACGAGTTACGTATTGCACTTAAAAAAAAGTCGCATATTGACCAATACATCGCGTATCGGATTATATGACACCAATACATAGGTTTTGAAAACAAAATTTAAGAATAATTAACACCACCATTGACAGTTGAGCATGGAATGAGTCTCACCCTATTCAAACAGACCCCACTACGAACACAGAACTCTGTCAGTCGGTGGGTGGTAGGAGTGGTCACTTGTCCTGGCTGTCCTCCTGTTCCCCTCATTACTGATCTATATTAAATTAAGTTGTAATTAATTGTCCCTTGATCATCAAAGAAAATTAAGTGGAGTGGAAATAAAATTTCATTTTAAATTTATTTATTTTTTTCTACCAAGAGTAGAAAGAAGATTTCATACTTGTAATAATAGATAAAATGTAGGTTAAATCTTTATAAACGAAAAATTATTCATATTTAGAGCACTAATTTGACTGTTGTTTGATGATTTAGATGTTCCATAAATCAAACTCATGTTACAATGGACAAAGCTCATGTTTGTATGAATAATTTTCCACGTAAAATCAGTGATAGAACTTGATGAATAAATCACGAAATTAACAAGTTTGTGTTGATTAAATCAGTGATAGAAGTCGATGAATAAAAAACGAAATTAACAAGGTAAAAATAAGGTAAAGGTAAGCTAGAATTGAGGTTTCTTCGTAAATTTTGAAGGAGAAATAAATCTTTATTGTATTTGGATCTTATGATTTATAAATTATGCTATTCAACTTAATCTATATGTTAAATAGATTGTATCTTATTATACCTAAATCAACGGACCAATAATTAAACGATATTTAATCGAGGTCAAAAGTTCAAGTCTAGATGGAGGTACGTGTATCCGAGGACCGATTAAGAATATATATATATATATTCTTATTTCAACATGACAAGATACAACCCATAAACATAAACTAAACACAAAGGTCACATATACAGCCTTTAAACCTAAATTGTCACTTCAACTTTCAATTTATGCCAACCTAAAGCATGCAAATAAAATGAGTTGGATGCAATAAGTGGATCAACCATCCAAACATAACCGAGGTGAAAAATCCTAAATTCAAACCACATTTCAACCTAATCTCGAAAACATCAATTCAAACTTACTTTTTTTAATTTTAAAATGTTAGAGCTAAATTCAAATGGATCAAATTAGGTTGAAATTGATCAGATTAGTCTCAAATACTAATACTCCGTGCATTGTTAAATGTACTAATAAAAACAATATAGATTGGATTTGGACAGAGGTGAGGCTGTACTTTGGGGCATTTTACTGGGCTTAGAAGCAACCTACCAATTTAAGTGCTCAACTAGGGGAAATATATATATATATATGTATATATTATGCACAAACTATTTGATTTTTTTATTTTTTGAAGAGCAAAACCATTGATCCTAATAGTATCAAAATAATCAGAATCAAGATCATATGCATCGAAAGGCTGTGATTTTCTGACCAGTTTGACCCCTTAACCTCGGAGCTACCTGTTGATTTTCGTGTGCGACCCACAAAAAATTGGAAGAGAAGTGAGAGAGCAGATAGATATATATAGAGAGAGAAAGCTTGCATAGAGAGAGAGTGGAACTTGAACAAATAAAAGGGTCTATGGCGTGAGGAGTGAGATGGCTAAAGACGTTTAGAGAGAGAGAGAGAGAGTGTTAAACAACGATAAACACCAAGATCACATGGGAGAAGAGCCACCTCCACCGGTACAATGTCCCCCCACATTTCCTTCTCCTTATTAGGGTTTCTCTGATCAATTCACTGCTCATTTTTTCCCTCTCTCTCTCTCCCTACATTCTCTCTCTAGTCACCCACAGCTGCTGCTTCGATTCTATAACCTTTATCTGCCTGGAACTGAAGTGTGTCTTGTGGATCTTCGGTTTGGGGTTGTTTGATTAATCTGGGTGTTGTTTTTTTTCGAAATTGGGAGGTGGGTCTGTGGAGGAGAGAGATGGAGGAGAGTCGTTTGTGTCAGTGGAGCGTTGTTCGATCCATTCTAGCCATTCTTCAATGGTGGGGTTTTAATGTCACTGTTATCATCATGAACAAATGGATCTTTCAGGTCGGTTTTCTTATTGGATTATTATCAGCACCATATCTTTCTATATAAACACATATTTATGTGCATGTATATAATGTGAGATGGGTTTTTTTTGTTTTGCTTAATATGTTAAAATTGTCTAGTTATATTTTGATTTCTTCATATTAATTACATGTTTAGTTACCGTTGATCTTTTTAAACAATTGCCTAATTTTATCTCAACTTTTTAATGTGGGTATTTTGTTTTTTCAGATTTTTTTATATTATTTTTTTGGTTGTTTCAATTGATTCTTGATAGTATGCATGTGGTGACTTTGTTGGGAACTGTTTAAAGAAAATGAGAACTTATTCTTTGATTCAGAGTATGGTAGTATACATGTAGCTGTCGGCAGTGGTTAAATTTAATAAATTATTGTATGCCATGTTTTTAATTTTTAGGTAATGCTCACCCAGTGATACATTGAGTTTGGATGTTTGGGAATCTTATAAACAAAAGAGCTGCCAATGAGCCTCTCTGTCTCCCCCCTGTACACATGTACATAGGTATAGATAATATTATATAGTATGATTATTTGTCCCATGATTTTTGTGTTCATTTTCCAATTTTCAGTAATATGTTCTCATTCAGAACCTTAGCCACATTAATGTGTAGCTCATCTTGTTTGGTGAGCAAGAATCACAGAAAAGCTATTGATGATGTTCTGTGTTACCCATGTCAACATAACATGACATGGACATTGGAATGGAGTGCGTGTGACAACATAACCAAATCGCACAGCCAGATCCTCGACAAGATAATCAAAGAAGAAGAAACTTTTAAATTTGATAACAAAAAAGGTTTTCCTATTTCTAAGATAGATGAAAAATTCCCCATTTGTCACATATTTTTTAATTTATATTATAATTGACTATATGTATATATATTTTTTTTTATAAAGAGAAAGAAGCATCATGCACTACAATATTATGTATCGTTATGTATTTTTGGTACACACATAACAATTTTATGATATACATGCATTCCCAAGCCCAACTTTTTGGACACATTCCAAGCCAAGTCTCTGGATCCTAATATGTGGAATGCGGAAGGTCTGACTCGTGTCTTGATCATCCACACACGATACATGTATCTGAGTCCATGTAAGATGTTGTTTTATCCTGGGCCATATCAGTTGCTTGTAACTTGTGATATTGTACCAGATCCAATTGCTGCTAGTTTAATTATTAATAGTCATTCCAGCCTTTTCTTTTTCTTTATAGATTGGACAAAGGAGGATGTTAGCTGCTAAGATGGCATGGAGGTCCATATTTGATGCAGTTTAGATGGGACAGTTAGTAAGATTTGATTGGTTATCGAGCCTTGGTCTTTATTCAATTTCAACACCTTTTGTGGTCCAGACTTTGATCATTCTAGTTCCACAATAAATTGGTGAATCTAACATGTAATATTTGAACAAAAGCATGTAATTTAAACTAGAAAATGGTTTGATTGTGACAATAGTGATTGAATGCATGTCTAGTAGTTTATCTAAAATGAGCACCTGTTTGTTCCGTACTGTTATTTTCCATTTGAGTGACCGAAATGCCTAGTATAAAGAGTGATTACCGGTACTTTTTAGTTTTTATCCTTATAGCTTGTTCCTTTTCACCTTGAAATCATTGGTGGGAAGCCCCACCGGAATTGCCATGGTTGCTTTACTGGCCCTGGTTTACAGTTTAGGATAGCGTGGGATTGAGTTCCAATAATCACACTGGGCATATTGCATTGATGTTTGGGACGTTTTACATTCACCTTCTCTAGAAAAGTTTCTCTCTTTTAATTTGAAGGTAATTAATTTTTTTTTACTGGATATGCGAGGGTTGTACAACAACTGGAGGTTAGTAAAAGAGGATACCATTCCATATCATTAGGAGATCACTTGAGCCATTGGAGCTTTAAGGATTTAAAAAAAATAATAATAATAAGCACTGGAGATTTTAAGATAATAATTCATACTTTCTAATTCCTTTCACAATCATTTGATAATTTAAAAACTATATGCTCTATCAAGCAATTAGGGCATGAATTAATCATAAATCTTAAATGCATAAAAAGTAAATATTTAGAATATTTGTAACTAATGTTTTTGTTTTTTTGTTTTTCCCTAATCCTTTGGGCCTGTAAGCTGTCGTTGCCTGCCTAAGCAAAGAAAGGAAGAAGCCTAAGACGTAGAGAGCAATGAGACCTGAAACATAACTGGCTATTATCATATATGCCACTATAGGGGTGGACCCAGAAACTCACTTGGGGGATCGATTAGTACCATGTAATTAAAATTTAAAATAATCTGAAATTCATTGTAATATATTTTTCATTATTGAGTTACATGCTCTCTCTCTCTCTATATATATATATATATATATATATTAGCTACCATCTACTCCAAAAGCTTAAGCTATTAGAGAGGGTGTAACTTAAATATATAAATCCTTCAACACGCCCCCTCACGTGTGGCCTTCTTTTGGTCCAACACGTGTTTTCAATTTTTTAATTAGGGTGACGGTGAGGTTTGAACTCTAGACCTTTGGCTCTGATACCATGTTAACTACCATCTACTCCAAAAGCTTAAGCTATTAGAAAGGGTGTAACTTAAATATATAAATCCTTCAACAATATATATATATATATATATATATATATATATATATATATATATATAAATTTGTATTTATTTATATATATATGATCCGAATGAATTTCATATGTGGTATTGGACTTTATCTCTTTTCATCAATTTTGGGCTTTCTTAAGCAAGGCTAACTAAAGTTGAATTTCTGTAATTGAATACTGTCAATTTGTTTCAAACCCTTGTATGCAGTTTGTGGTCCTTATGTTTTGTAAGTGCTACCTCCAAGAGATGCGGATTGAAGTATACCGTGGATCGTTGTGGATACCATAGTGTTAAACAAATTGTTTTGGTCATAAATATCATGTCTCTGTTATCTAACCACAAAATTTATTCTAGAATAGTTTATCTTTTGGTTTTTGATAAGTGATTATAGAATAGTTTATCAGTGGTAAAGAATCCTATTTTTAGCAACTGCTAGCCATGTAAGATGCAATTTAAATATTCTTCAATTTAACTTTATATGCACGTAAATTACTGGTAATAGTTAGTCTTGGTGCCTTGAATGGTAGGGATGGTGCTTGTGATGGAATTAGTACGCTTCTTGTCCATAATATTGTAGATCTGCTTTACACCATATATTTATATTCCAGCTTTTGGTTTATCAGTCCATCATATATTTCTATATTTACTTTCATCATTTGTCTCTTGATTTACTATCTTTGTTTGAAAGTAGTGATAAATTAATCTTCGGTGAATTATTATCATCATGGCTTATGGTTGTCTGGAACAATTTTTTTTTACAGAAACTGGACTTTAAGTTTCCTTTATCAGTATCATGCATTCACTTCATATGTTCGGCCATTGGTGCATATCTGGTGATTAAGGTCCTGAAGCTTAAGCCACTTATTGTGGTTGATCCTGAAGATCGCTGGAGAAGGATATTTCCCATGTCATTTGTGTTCTGTGTCAACATTGTCTTGGGGAACGTGAGCTTACGTTACATTCCAGTTTCTTTTATGCAAACCATAAAGTCGTTTACCCCTGCAACAACAGGTTAGGTTATGGTTATGGTTAGTGGTATATGATTTCTTCTTTTTCTGTTCTATATACACATTACCTTATTTTGTCAGTTGATTTTGATGCATTTTTAAACAGTTTTCTTGCAGTGGCTAGTTTGGAGAAAATATTTTGACTGGAAAATTTGGGCTTCCCTTGTACCCATTGTTGGAGGAATTCTTCTCACTTCCATTACAGAGCTTAGTTTTAACATGTTCGGATTTTGTGCTGCCTTATTTGGTTGTCTGGCGACTTCTACAAAGACTATCCTTGCAGAGTCTCTGCTGCATGGCTATAAGTTTGATAGGTATTGCCTTCCTCTTCTCTTAACAAAAATATAAAATACAAAATTAATATAATATTATAAAATATAGCACAAGAAAGGAAAGAAATTTCTCAAATTGGTATTTTCCTTTTGCTTTGATAAAGTTCGATTCAGATCTGCCATAGGCCAATTGTTGTCAAGCATTGGAAGTTTACTGGTTAGGGAAATAGTATGTTGCAAGTTTGCGTGTCTGATCCATTTATATAACAGTGACCTAATGAAACTCAGGTTGAGCTACATATATGTTTTATCCAGTTTTACAGTTCATTATAGACTGCTAAACTTTATTTCCATATTTGTATTTATCTTATATCAATCTTACTTGTCAATCTAGAGATTGGATTTGTTAACTAAAAGCCATCGAGTCTATAAGGTTTTGACTTTCCTCCAGTTCTCTCTTGAAAAATGTATATGGTTTCTGGTTTGCTATTTTTCAAGAGGCTTAGAAAGTTAGAATTGTCCTTGAGTGTTCTACCGTTATTAGTGACATTGAAATTTTTGGTTCTCTTTGTGTCAGAGATATTGCAGCTATCCTGTTAAAGGAAATTACTTTTTACATAATTGAGGTGCCTTTTGGATGTTTACTTCTGCTCTTTTATCAGGACACTAAGCTTGATGTGTTGGGTTTTCATTGAGATTATATTTGATAATATCTACTAGGATGCTCAACTTGAAGTTGAAAGCTCTGGAGTTTGGAAAAGCTTTTAATTAAGTGAGCTGCTCTGTTTCCTCCAGTTCTTTCTGAAAAATGTAGACTGATTTACTGGAAAAGAAAAATATAGACTGTTTCTGAGGTTATTTGCTTTTGTAGAGGCTTAGAATTGTCCTTTAAATGTTTTACCCTTATTTTTTATTGATAGTACACTTAATGAGGCAGAGATGTTGAACCTACCTTGTTAAACTAGGATTGCTTTTTGCATGATGAAGGTGCCTTTTGGCTGTTTATTTCTGCTGTTATCAGTTGCTTTTTATAAATTTTATTACAAAATTCAAATCACTAGATTTTACAAATTAGAGCATGATATTTTGAGTCCATTGGTCTTCCAAACTAGTAATTTATAAGTTCAACTCATGTGACTAGAAAGCTGGGGTTGGTAGTAAAGGTATGGGTGCAGATCACTTGTGTTCTCTGTAGTCGTGAAAATTTAGCAGGTGAATTAGGCTGTTTCAGGGATTAGATCACTTGTGTTCTTTGGTAGTTATCTTATTTTAGTGATTAGGTTCTTATTCTTATTCATTTATTTATTTTTAATTATTAGTGATTGTGCCAAATAGAGTATTTTTTAGGATTCATTATGTTTTTGGAATTTCTTTACAAGTTTATGTAAATGTGCTCATAGCAGATTTACGCAGACATTAATCATATTTCAGTTTTCTCTCCAACTTGTGATTGCCAATTTCTTAACATAATTATCAATTTACCTTGTGCCTCGTCAATAATGCTCAACAATTCACTCACGAAAGTTTTATATTTATGTTACAAACAAATGAAGCATATTTACAATTTAACATGTCACTGATAGAAAATAATATATAAAACATGTATAAAAATTAAGAAGAGTTGGATAAAATCCCTAAATCACAGAAACACTAGAATAAAATTTGATGTTATGCTTACAATAATATATATGTTTGTGTGTATGAAACCCAATGGCAGGGGTTCAAATATATTTACAGAAATAATGTATATGTATATAAATCAGTGTTGATAGGTATATATATGTGTGTGTATATAGATATATATATATATATATACGCATATATATGGAGAGAGAGAGAGAGTGGGGTGGATATATATATAGAGAGAGAGAGAGAGAGAATGAGTTTGATATTTTTGGGTTTAGGCAAAGTAAAAGGTGGGGATTAGATCTATAATTTTGTAAATCAGGGGGCATTTTGTAAATGTCCACAAAAAATTATATAAATAAGCAAAAAAAAATTCACCAGGGGCAGCTGCATGATGTAAGCCGTCAATTTTTTCACTCATTCTCCCTGGTTGGATCTCTCTCTCTCTCTCTCTCTCTCTCTCTATTAGTTCCATTGAAATTAAGTATTTAGGAAAATTTTCAAAACATTTGGGAAAAGTTGTCAATCCAGTAAATATTGTGGATTGCATTCTCAGTGCAAGGTACCGGATTTTCTGAATGGATGTACCAGAAGTTGTGTACATAGGTTTTCCTGGATATAGGGCCACTGATAAAAAATTAAAAAAAAATAAAACCAAGCAAGTAAAATGAAATATCTTAGATCTGGACTGAGTTTTTTCTTTCAAACCCAACAGTGTTTTGAAGATTTGAGGGAAAGGATAGAATTGAGTTGGGGGAGAAGAGAGGAAGAGAGTGTAAATGGCAGTTGTTCCAAACCATAAAATATTAGTTTGATGTGTGTTAGTGTTTTGGTGCATAAAAATTATTTACATGTGCATAACATATTCTATATTAACATGCATGCAATTGGTATTAATTGAGAAACTACATAGAATTTATGAGAGAGCAATTTTATTGTGAAAGCTGTTTGGTTGCTTTCACAGCAATGCCTAATGACTTGGTGGACCTATACGTTTAAAAAGTTGTGAAAGCAACCAAATTGCTTTGACAATAACGTTATTCTTCATAATAGGCAAAGGTTTACCAGCAACTTGCACTGTTATATGGGATAATATAATGATGGAAAGTTTCTATTTGTGGCAAGAATGCTAAAAAAGAAATCTGGCGTAAAGGGTCGTAGTGAAAATTATAAGAATAAAACCAGTGGAAACATTCCTATGTCAAAGAGTTACCTTCATTTTCCATTTGGTAGCGCTCTGAATAAACTTTTTTTCTGATTGTACCTGTGATGATGCATTTATCTACTACATATTTGTGCATGTTTTAGAATCTCTGGACGTAATGCTTCATTTGATTGCTGAGAAGTTGTAAGATTAGGGAGGTAACTTGGGAACTTGTAAGAGCCTGATATAATCCCAGATAACTTGGGAACTTTCATACATGACTACACCTGTGGTAATGCATGTACTTATGAGTAGATATCAAATGTTTTGATGGTGCACTGGATCTGATGCTTCTTGAACAGTTACTGCGGGATTATAAAAATAACTTGTATTATAGTAACAGCTTATTCTGTCTCAGCCTATTAGATGATTCCAGTTGTCTCTTTCTTTTCTGTAACTTTCTTAACAACAATGGCAAACATATGGGAATTTGTGTGCTCCTCAAGCTCGGCAATTTATGCACATATTCAGTTTATTGAAGATAATTATGGGTCATTCTTTGCTGATGCTTGATTAGTTTTTGCTTATTCAGCTCAATATGGAGCTAAATGAGTATCAATTTTATTCTACCTTTTTTTTTTCAATTAGTTTTAGTGCCCCTGAAGTGTCTCTTTTTTTCTGTACCAATCCATTGCTATACGATTAGTCTTGATCTTGTGATTTTCTTTTATGTACTCTTTTAGCATAAACACGGTGTACTACATGGCACCTTTTGCAACTATGATCTTGGCCGGCCCTGCACTGCTGCTTGAAGGATCTGGGGTTTTGCTGTGGTTTCATTCACAGCAATCCCTCGTCTCTCCCCTCACTATTATTTTCGGCTCTGGGGTGTTGGCTTTCTGCCTCAACTTCTCTATCTTTTACGTGATTCACTCCACGACTGCAGTCACATTTAACGTTGCTGGTAATCTTAAGGTGAGATCAATTTAGGCAGTATAATTTGTCGAAACCCAAGTATGCTATTTTCTTCATGATCATTATTATCATCACCATCTTACTTCGAAACTCTTCTTATGATTCCTGTACGCAGGTTGCAGTTGCTGTTACATGTTCATGGCTTATATTCAGAAATCCAATATCAGCTATGAATGCCATTGGATGTACTGTGACACTCGTGGGATGTACATTCTATGGGTACGTGAGGCATCTGCTATCCCAACAGCCCCCGGGAACTCCTCGTACGCCCCGGACTCCCCGGAACCTGAAGGAATTGATTCCTCTTGTAAGCGAGAAGTTAGATAATAAGGTTTGATTAAGTAGTTATGCATGAGGTGCTTGGCGGTTGGGAAATGGTAATAGGTAACAGTTACACTTGTTGTGTGAACTTGCATTTTATGGACTTTAAAAGAAATATAAAAATGTCCATTCATTTTCTCTCCACTCAAAAGCTATCAGGTTCTTATTGATCTTCTTCAATGGGGTTGATATGTTTCCAGCCTCACATCAGCCTTTGAAAGTTTGAATAGAGGTGGTTGGAAGGAAGAGAAAGTAAAAGGGGAGAAAGGTAGGTCTATAAATGAGGAGTATCTATGGAGGGGATGGATGGAAAGGATAAGATATAATTATTACCCATTTTATCCTTATTTTTTTATAAAGGTTGAAATATTATTTTCCCTTTCCTACTTATGTAATGGTAGTAAAACATTAATTGTTTTTTTCTTTCTACTGCATTTAAGGGTTAATTACTTCCTATCCTAGTATCCTAGTGAAGCCAGAGTGATGGGGAGTTTCTTTCTACTGCATTTAAGGATTAATTATTTCCTATCCTAGTATCCCAATGAAGCCAGAGTGATGGGGAGTTTGTTTCTACTGCATTTAAGAGTTAATTACTTCCTATCCTAGTATCCCAATGAAGCCAGAGTGATGGGGAATTGTTGCATGAGTGTTCTAAATGACATGGGATGAAATGGCACAAGAGATAATAAAAATGTTCTAATTTCATATTCAAGGCGCCAATTCGGTGCTACCAAACCAAACGTAAAAGTATCAATACTTCTTAAAATGATGAATTTAAACACAATTTGTGAGTTGCTTACTTGTTTCTTTCAGGAAATGACTTGAATCTTATGGATAAGGAGACTACTACTCTATTCAAGCATTGGTCCACTGATCACGCGATGACTTTATTCTCAAATTGATTTTCATGATGTTTAAGGAAGAACCTATAATATAAGTTATAACAATAGTCAATTCAACTTGTCACAGACAAATGAAGGTTGAGAGAGAGAGAGAGAGAGGGAGAGAGAGAGAGAGAGAGAGAGAGAGAGGGGAATGCTTTTCATTACATTGCTAACAATAGATCTAGTTAGTAGTTAAAGATAGTGAAAATACACACACTAGTATTAGACTTTCTACACACTATAATTTATTTTCTCATGAACTAGGCCAAGAGCCAAAAGTTCTTCTGCCATCTGGTGCTGATAAGGTAACCACCAATGCCTTGGCTCTGCTTCCTCACTCCTATTGTTAAGCACTCCACATTGTTGATGCACTGCTCCACAAACTCCTCTGAGCTGCTGGTCCCACACAGGCTGTATCACAAAGTATCGGACAAAAATGGTCAATCAATTCATCAAGATCACAGAGTTTGAAATCAAGGGTTGAAATTGCATGACAGGGAGAGAATTTAAGATGGACCCACCAGTTGATGATTAGAGAAGGCTTCTTCTGACCCAAAACCAGTACAGATACCTCTAGCTTCTTCACCTGGCTCATCACTGTGGCTAGCTTTGGTCCTTGTATTACTAGTGCTTCCACTTCCACCTGAATATCACCACATCAAGTAAATACAGTGAAACAGAAGACTGAAAAGACTATATGAACAATACAAACAATTTACTCTCCCTCTCTGGTCTCTGACTCCGTACACAGAGACATAACATCTATCACACACAAACACAAAATAGCAAGACGAAAATAAAGTAAAAGGATCTGAAAAATCCCTATTCCCTCTGGAAAAGAAAAGAAAAAGATGAAAACAAAAACTGCCACGCATGTAAATTGTTCCTTCCTTTTCTCCCAAAAAAAGAAAAGAAAAACAAAAAGAGGGGAAAGAGGAGGCAAAAAAATAAGAGAACTGTAGCAGCAGCTCCATCCCTCAGAGGCCACTGAAAAGGTGAGGGGGAGAAGGATCAAATGGATCTACATTCTCTCTCTCTCTCTCTCTCTCTCTCTCTCACACACACACACACACATTATCATAGAGAATGGAAAAATAAACAAATGGAGAAAATGAAGAACACCCATTTGAGCTCACACACACACACACTATCATAGAGAAGGGAAAAATAAACAAATGGAGAAAATGAAGAACACCCATTTGAGCTCTACAATCTCTTTGTCTCTCTGTCTCACACACACTGAACCCATTTGAGCTCTCTCACACACAGAATCATAGAGAACGGAAAAAATAGACAAATGGAGAAAATGGAGAATACCCAATACCCATTGCAGCATTTCTATATTTGATCTATGGATCTCCACACCTAAAGCTAAATAATATAAACACACACACACAGCACAGGACTAACATACCTCAGGCTTACAAGCCTTGCAAAGGGATCCAAGAGAGTTGGCAAGGTAAGGAGTGGAAGAGGAAGAGGAGTCAGATGTCCTCTCAGAGGCCTTGTGTGGAGGGATGATGTGAAGCAGAGTGAGCAAATCACCCTTGTTGGTGACATGTGTGAGAGCCCAAATCATTGCATGCTTGGAATGTGAGGATTCATCCACCACCACCATCACTCTCTTCCTCATCACCAACCCACCATTCTCATTCGATCCGTACATGTTAAGCCCTTCCATTTGCTTCAGACCGCCACCGCCGCCGCCGCCGCCACCGTACCTGCTGTTTCCACCAACCCATCTCTTGGATGTTGATTTCCAACCATCTCTTCCACTCAGCTGTCTCAGAAATGACTCTGAACTCGGCATTTTCGAAACCCCTCTTTTGGAACCTCCTTCAATCCCAATATGTGTTCTAGAGAGAGAGAGTGAGAGTAGCTATGCTGTTATTGTGCGAACTGTGGAGAAGAAAATCTGGGGAGAGAAAGAGAGAGAAGAGGAAGGGGGTGGGTGAGAGCTTTATGAACTGTGAAAGAAGAAAATCTGGAGAGAGAGAGAGAGAGAGAGAGAGAGAGAGGGAGGAGGGGGGCTGTGGCTCAATGGGGTAGTGGCGTTATTATAGCGAGAGAAACAGCTGTGGGTACTGGGTGGAAACTAGAAAGAGAGAACAACTAGTGTGTGTGTGTGAGAGAGAGAGAGAGAGAGACTCTGTACCCGTGTATGAGAGAGTGCGTGTGACCAAAATCACCCTTCTGTAACTTTCTTTTATGAAATTTTACCACATCACTACAATAGTGAAATTTCACATAATTTTACTTGTCTGTAAAAATAGTAAAATAAATCACTTAGAATTTAAAAAATAGTGAAGTTTATATATGATATTGAATTCCATAAGAATTATGAAATTCATCGTATAAATTCTTAAAATTCACAAATAGTGAAGTTTATGGTGGGATAAAAAAAAAAGGAAACAAAATAAACTTACCATTCGGAATTTGTTGTCACTGATGTGTCAAACATTGATTAAGACACTTTAAAATGTGATGTAGTGTATTTTATTTATTTTTTAAAAGTAAATATTTTATTTATTGTTGACAATTAGTCTTTATTGGACTCTGTTCAATGAAATCGTTACGGATGAACCGATCAAGCATTATAGTAGTACTTAAAAATAAATCAATGCGGTAAAGTTGCACGGTAGAAACCTTATGAAGAAAAAGTGAGTGCAATCAAAATCATCTGTAGTGACATCTTTTATGGAATTATACCACATTTAATGGTGAAATTTCAATAATAAAAATGGTAAAATCAATTATTTAAAAATTTTAAAATAGTGAAATTTATGATATTGGAATCCATAAAAATATGATAAAATTAAATTTAAAATGGTGAAGTTTTTGGTGATGAAAAAAACCCAAAGTAAATGGGGGTCATTTGGGCCTATCCAGAGTGAGTTATTATAACAAGGGAAGCATGTCTCACATTGTATTCAGATGCGAGAGTGATCGGATATGTATAAGTTCGGTGTTAGTTTTACTTAATAACTTAAGTTTTTGGGTCGAATCACAAAATACTTATCCGTTACCGTTCGTATCAAAGTCAAATTCGTTGTTACGCCAAGCGTCCGGGTAGACAGGGTGACCCGAGCCGTAACAAAGGCATTGCGAGTTTGAAAAGGGAAGTTTGTCTCACATTAAATGAGAGGGTAATTAAATATATGGATTAAGTGTTAGTCTCACTTAATAATTTAAAATTTTTGATCGAATCGTGAGACAGTAACCCGTTACAATTATTATGGCCAGAGAAACAGCTGGGAAAGAGAGAAAGTACTAGTGTGTGTGTGTGTGTGAGAGAGAGAGAGAGAGAGAGAGAGGGAGAATTTATGGAAGAGGTGATGGGCTTGGAGCCTGATGATGCAAAGCCATGATTTTATTATCTTTTGTGACAGGGTAAAGTCACGGGAATCACTGGCTGGTTGTGGCTTTACGATGGAGATAAATGCAGATTGTATATATAAACAAATCATCATCACTCTGTTTTTACTCTCCCCTTCTTCTGATGATGAAAGTGCGGATTCTTTGTACCATCTTTTGCATCATATCAGATTCTTTTGTACATTTTTAAATAATTTCTCGTGATCTATCATGAATTATGTTGTTTGGCTATACAATTATATTATATACACGCATATTATTTACTTACATATTTTGCAAATTGATCACCCAGATCAGATCTTATTCTTGTGAAGTATTGCTTTCATGTTTAAAGAGCGAGCGTACTTTCGCTGTCTCGCACGTGTTTTTTTTCAAATTCTTATTATTTATAATTTAATTATGTCATTCTCAGACTCTTGTTCTCAAATTTACTTTCATTATCGCTTTTTGTTACTTAGATCAAAACCCTAAACCTTTTATACAGAGCATATTGTTTAAGTGTTTCCATTGGTGTTTAGTATTTAACTATATATAGATCGTGATTCAGTAATTTTAAATTGTATCAAGTCTTCTGTTTATGTCTGCATTAAAATGTTCATAAATAGCATTAAAGAAACCTGCACTTCTTGTATTAGAAACATAAAAGAAAACTGTTGGAAAACAAATTGGAGGGAAAAGAATCCCATTTTCAGTGTCATTTTCATTACACAAACCAACTCTTGAAAGTGCATAGAAACTGATGAGTTCCAAATTTTGAGGGATTAGGTTGATTGTGATTTGGAAGTCACAGGTTTAAAAATAACCAAATAATTTCTTTTCATTTGAAAGTAAGACGACATATAATTGAAAATTTCTTAGGGTACAATACTTTGGAGATATTGTAAAACTTATCATATAATTGACTCTTCTCACCTGCAATTACCGGAGTTTTGTGTACTAGACTAATTCTTTTTCAAAAAAACAAATTAAAAGAAAATTTAAGAACGCCTTTGTGAGGAGGAGCTCCAAGCTTCTAATACAAACTTTTCTTTCTACTATATACTCACTATTTCTTTAAGGTTAAACCTTTTTTACTTTTTCTTATAAGTGATATATAGTAGATAAGTAACAATCATTAATTTAGTAAACCACTCCTCATTCTTTTATTCCTCATCGATTAGTCTAAGATAAATTTAGTATTCGACATTATTTGCATAATTAATTTTAAAGTTGAAATGACAATGTCACAACGTCAATAAAAAATTGAATAATGCTACAAAAAATGGATCAATTTTTAACTCCCACATCAGTCGATTTTTGTTACTAATATGCAGGTTATCATTTTCATTTGATTATACTATTATTTATGCATCCCTTGCTCACCTTTTGGGAACCTCTTTAATATCTTAAAAAAAAAATTGAGTTCTTAAATTTGTAGTGGTAATATAAAATTGCCAACATGCCTAAAGAATAATACTACTAAATAAATCTAGCAACAATAAATGGTGATATCTATTCTTAATTAACAGAACAAATTAACTATTTTAATTTTGGTATTATTCAAATAATGTAGGTTCCCTATCTACTCCCCTGTATAAAATTAATCTACACCACACGGAAACCATGCAAAGGAAACAATCACAAAGTCATATCATTTGCATAAATCATGATCGTATGTTTCACTTCTAATAGTTAAATATAAGACCATTTGCTTTGAGAATTGTAAAAAAATTACTCTCTTTATCCTAAAATAAGTGTCCTATTTACTGTTCTCAAAACAAGGCACATATTTTGGGATAGAGAGAGTAGCAACCATCATAATGTTTGCATCCCATCATTTCAATCAACCCAAATAATTGTATGATAGAGCAATTTTGAATGACAATAATATACAGCGGATACCATTAAAAATTGAATAGAGGCATTTTTAATAGTTTTACAAAAAGTAGGGACATTTTTTTAAAAAAATTACAAGAATTCTAGATAATTTTGTAAATAAAAAAAATTCAGAGGGAGCAGCTACCCAACTGAGCCTTTAATGAGTCCATGCCTAATTTCAATCATTTATAGTTTACAACAATAAGTGCACATTAAAGGGTGGAGATCACATCACAGACAGAGTGAACCTTATTAATAGAGTGATTTTCACACTTATTGTGACAAATGTCTGCGCATGCATGTATAATTTATCCAAATTTCAAGAAAAATTAATGCAATTTACCTTAATTTTAAAGTGGTTGACCACTTAATTTATGTACTTGTTTTTCAACATGCTATAATTGAAGTCAATTTATGAAGTGATTTTACTTTATTGAAATTTTACTAAAAATTGGTGGATCCAAAATCTCCTTTTCAATACACAAGAAGTTATTTTGATTTCTATCTTGTATCTCCTTTCTTAATGGATTCAGATTTTGGTATTGAGAATTATTGAAATTGACTGTGAAGTCCTAACTCCTAACACATGGACTGAGCAATTCAATGCTTGGAATTGAAATTAAAAGTGAAGAGGTGGTTGAGAGGTTTAATGTTTTAACTAATATGCTTCTAATTCTAGCTTTGAAGCATCGATTCTAATTTCTCAATTGCAACTATAACTAAAACAAAGGATAGTTTTAGGTTCCATTTTAGATTGAATGATTTAAAATGAATAAATGGGATTCAATTAAAATTTAAATTTAACCTTTTACAATATGAATAATTTAAATTTCAGAGGCTTGTATGAATGGATTTTAAATAATATAGTGAAATAAGTTATTTTGATATCCATGCACCTAAAGATTTTAGCTGCACCAAATCCATGCATTTCCCATTTCAAAATCTCAAAAAAGAAAGACAAGATAAAAAGTGATAATATTTACATTTCACCATCCTCCTCATGCAATCCACTTACTTAAAAAGATAAAAATAAAAATTGAGAAAATTATCTTTTAAAAAAGTCCAATAAAAAATGGGGTATTATGATTGACCAATAGTATTTAATAGCCTTTACTCCCGAAGTAGGGGTGCAAATGGTTCGGATTTGACCAATTTGAAAATATTTTGGAACCAAACCATTTATAAAGGTTTCATAAAAAATAGAACCAAACCAAACCAAACCGTGGAAAAATAGTTTGGTTCGATTCGGTTTCACGATTCTAGATTTTTTTATAATTCAATCTAATATATATATATATATATATATATATATATATATATATAATTAAAAATATATATCATATATAACGTAATTTCTATTATAATATAATTTTTTATTATATATTATGATATATAGTTGAGTAGTTAAAAGGCTAATCTTATTATTATATTATTTATATAATACAAAATATATAAATATATATTCAATTTATAAAATAGGTCAGTTCGGTTTGGTCCAATCTTGTAAAATCTCAAAACGTAATTGAACCGTTTATAAACAGTTTTATATATTTGGAACCTTAGTCGAACTGAACCATGAAAAAATTGAACCAAACCTTCTGGTCCGGTTCGATTTATCGGTTCAATCGATTTTTTGTTCACCCCTATCCTAGAATACCCAATAATTTCTCCCTTTTAAGAGGGGTGTTTTTTTTTTTTTTTTTTGATAATTCTTTTAGGAGGTAATTTGCACCCAAAAAAAAAAAAAAAGCAACGAAACAAGGTGAATTGTTAATATTATTATAAAAAAAAAAGAAGGAAAAAGAAAATTAGTGTCACAAGTAGTAGCAAAGTTTGCGTTCATGAAACTAAAGAGACCCACGGTCCAATTCACACC